ACAGATAAGACCATTTGTGATGCATCATAGTGAGAAAGACTAGCCTTGAACACTGACAGAAGAATTCCTCCAAACAAAGTATTTGTTGTATTTCGGTTAAGGTATGCGAGAAGGTATGGCGATACAGGGCCAAGAGCTGTCTCGGCCTCAAAAGGGAGATTGTACCGTGAAGTGTGTGCTCTGTGATCCTGGCCTGTAGTGGAAAATTGACTTCAAATGATGATAGAAATGAATTAATCTTAGTTTTTTATATTCAGTCTGTTCCTTTAAATGAGTCTTAGAAGAATGGCCTGAATTTAACCAGCTTTAAAGTTCTTAGCAATTACTTGAGAAAACCATTTTAATCTATACGCTCCTTCCTTGGTCAAGCAACACTTGGTCAAGTGTTGAGAGGAAACAGAAATGGACACAAATTGCTAAAAACTGAATTGTTATATGAGTTCTGGCAGAGAAGTACCTTCAGTTTTTGGTAAAGCAGAGTTAGCTTGAGAGATCAGTAAAACGGCCCACCAGGTAGAAAAAGTGAAGAAGGGAAATTTCTTTCCCTTTTATTATAATACTGTACAAGTGCTTGAAATCATCTCATAGAATTATACAATAAAAGATTCAGGATGGATAAAAGAAATATGCCTACATGTATAATAAAATTGTACATGCTTTGAAAATTGATTGAGAAGTTCTTTGGATTTCATAATAAGGGAGACTATGAGAGGTTAAAAAGTCAAGATGCCATCTGTGGCCACACAAAGACCTGCTCTTTTTTTTTTTTTACATACTTCATGTATGTGAAATATCTACAAAGGGGCTGGGCTACCATCCTGGTTTTTTTTAATCTGTTGTGCAGATGCTCCTGCTCCACATAAGTCTGAATGTAGCATCTTTCTTTTTATTAAAGTTTCCAGCATCATCTTTATTTCTGAGAAAACCTTGAATTCCCAGTCATTCTCAAAATATAAAATGGTGGATGGTCACAGCATGATGAGATGGAACAATATTCATTTTCGCATAAACAAACACAAATGATTGCTGACATGTTAAAGAATGGCAGTTACAGGACTCCTTTCTTCTGCCTATTTAAGTGCTTTGTGGTTGCTATATCCACCCTTCTGAACATGCATGCAAGCCTTCCAAGGGAATCCACGGGGGGGGAGGAGTAAAAATTGTTAATTTGGCAACTGTGACTGTGCAATCGAAACTCCACCTACTTTTTGTATGTGTGCGACACATAAAAAAGCAGAAATTTAACCACATCACTGTTCTCATCTTGAGGCTTTTGTCCTCTCTGAAGATGCCCCCTAGCCACTACCCCTGCTCCTTAACCTGCATGATTATCAGTTTAGATGAAGATTCCCTGTGATAAGTTCTTAAAAGTCCAAATGTGTTTGTCAGCTTAACATTGGGATTCTCTGCTATAAATAGTTAATAAGGAAGTAATCGTATGTAAACCTACCCTGCTGCCTCCTGCTGCATTTTTTCCATTACTTAAACTTATTGCTATTCTTAGAAAACTATGTATTTCTTATCAGGTACGCCTGATTTACCAGTTGCGGCCTTTTCTGGACCGAGACGCCTTGCGCACAGTCACCCATGCCCTCGTCACCTCCCGCCTGGACTACTGTAACGCTCTCTACATGGGGCTTCCCTTGAGGAGCACCCGGAGGCTCCAACTGGTCCAGAATGCGGCCGCACGGGCGGTGTTGGGAGGGACTCGTCGCTCCCATGTAACACCGTTGCTGCGCGAGCTGCACTGGTTGCCGGTGGCCTTCCGGGTGCGCTTCAAGGTGTTGGTTATCACCTTCAAAGCACTCCATGGCATCGGACCTGGATATCTCCGAGACCGCCTTCTGCCGCAGATTAACTCCCATCGGCCGGTACGCTCCCACAGAGTGGGTCTCCTCAGGGTGCCGTCAGCCAGACAGTGCCGGCTGGCGACTCCCAGGGGGAGGGCCTTCTCGGTGGGAGCTCCCACCCTCTGGAACAAACTACCCCCAGAGATCCGGGTGATCCCGCATCTCCCCTCCTTCCGCCGCGCCCTTAAGACATGGCTCTTCCAACAAGCAGGACTGGCCTAAGGGGAAATTTTTAGAGGGGTTTTAAAAGCAATTTTAATAATTAATAAGGCCAAATTTAATATTTTATTTTAACTTTGTTTTAATGATAGTTTTTGGGGTATTTCTGTAGTTGTTTTTATCAGGCTGTCAGCCGCCCTGAGTCCGCAGGGAGAAGGGCGGGGTAAAAATTATGAAAATAAATAAATAAAAAAATAAATGTAATGCTAAAATGTTTTAGCTTCAATATAAAACTAAAGTGCACATCCTAATGCAACTGGTATGCATTTGGCTCCTAAAATCTTAGATATAGCCCCACAGACGTCCAGAGGTAGTCTAAATCAGAGAGAAGAAAAAATTAAATGAATAATTGGTGAGGAATCCTATTAGTTATATTGAATTTAGTTTTAATTTTGCTCACACTGACTCTTCTATGGACTGCAGCCCCTGGCACTTCATTCACAGTCCAAGTACAGCCTTGATCTGGAAAAAGCGATGCTACAGATAGAGTAGATTTCAAGGGGTTTTCAGCAATGCTCAGATAAAATCCATAGAAGTCAAATAAAATGAGGTACAAGTACAGTTAAAAGCAATAGTATCTGAAGTATGCAGCTGAAAAAAATAGAAAAATGCCATGAGATCTAAAGTTACCCAAGGTGATTCTGAATTCTCTGAACTGCATTAGAGTTGATGATGTGGTGAACAACTAGGTCATTTAACTGTCATAAAACCTTACTTGAGTATTAGTCTTGTGCTCGAAAGGGGATGTATGAGAATGGAATGGAGTGCCTTCGGAAGTAGTGAGATTGTCTTCACTGGATAGTGTGGGAATGTACTGAATGTACTCTGTACTGAAGAGGGGAGAGGAGACGAGGGTAGCTACTTGTCCAATCACACAGAACATGCTCTTGTTAAGGTATGGCAATGGAAATTCTGGCAGCAAATTCTCAGCCATAGTCCACTAGCAGGTCATATATTTGACTTCTATGGATTTACATCCAAAAGCTCTCAGGCTTAGTCTTTGGCAGCTCCATATAGGAGAGTGCAAGAATTCTGCCTGGAATCCAGCCTGTCAATATGGACTCTATTGAAATTGATGGACCATTAATTTGACTCTGTATAAGGCAGCTTCTGTGTTTCTGTTTGAATTGACTGTCTGCCAATCTCAATCTCCTCTGTCACTCACTCTTCTGCTTCCCTTGCAGATATAGATGAATGTGCACTCTCATTGCACAGCTGCACTAGGGGAACAACATGCATTAACATCGGAGGAAGCTTTCAGTGTGTCAAGCCAGAGTGTCCCCAGACTGGTGGAAATGTCAGTTATGTGAAAACATCATCCTTGTAAGTAACATCAACCTCCCACCAAAAAGCCCTGATGGTGCAGTGGTTAGAATGCAGTATTGCAGGCAAACTCTGCCCACAGCCAGTAGTTTGATCCTGACCGGCTCAAGGTTGTCTCAGCCTTCCACCCTTCTGAGGTCAGTAAAATGAGGACCCAGATTGCTGGGGGCAATATGCTGACATTTGTAAACCAGTCAGAGAGTGCTGCAGAGCACTATGGGACGGTATGTAAGTCTCAGTGCTATTGCTATTGCTATAAGGAGAAATGAGCTTTCCTCAACATGATGCCTTTCAGATGAATTAGATTAAAACTCCATTTGTTCTCAACCACTGACAGGCAGGCTGTGGGGAAAGTGCTTCCACAGTAGAAATCTGCATTAAGCCATTTTTTAAAAAAGCATATATTTTCTGTAAAAACTGGCTACTATTATAAAAATACAACTATCATATGCCCTCCTCCTGTTAATTAATTCAAAAAACCATTATTAAGTAGTGGCTTTTAAATGGTGACTAACCACTTGAAGCTTCTCCAATGGTTGACTTCTGACTGAAGATTTACCATGAAACTGTTATCATTTATAATTTCCAATGTGATTTCGCTACCTTATAGGTGTCTAATTTTGAGGTTTGTGGATACATTTGGCATTTTTAAAGTGTCACAAAGTAGTTCTCATGCCTAAGTAGATAATAAGAAAAAGCTGCTATTTATCCTACTTTTAAAAGATATTATTGGATTTCAGTTTCAGCACTCTTCTGAGATTTGTCAGGGCTACAGTTCCTTGAATTAGAAGCTTCATCATAATTTATTTCTTTTCTTTTGAAATGTTTTATTGATTTTTAACAATTACAATCTTTAGTGCTTAGTAAACAACGTGTTGTCTGGGTTCACATCAGTGATGGGATTCAGCTGGTTCGCACCACTTCGGCAGAATCGGTAGCTAATTTTTTGTTGCCCAGGCCCAGAATGGACTTCCGGAAGTGGCATCCACACAGAGAACCTGTTGTTCACATATTTGAATCCCACCATTGGTTCATATTTAACATTAACTTCTTCAATATAAATCTGTTCAGTACTGCACAATCCAGTATTTTTTCCCTGATCCTCCTTTCTTCCCCATATTTTTTTCCATTTTCCCCTCATTACACAGTTACAATTCTTGCTACTGTTGATGCATACAAATATTTCTCATTCGGTCAGTAAGATTACTCGCTATGTCTTCTTTGATATGTGGCCAAAACACATCATGCCTTAATGAGTTATTTTAGCCAAGTGGAGAAAATGCAGCTTTGTTTAAGTTTTGACAGCATTCTTGGTACAAACCAGCTAATGTGAAATATCTTTAAGCTTTATTGATTTTGGTGCAAGAAACTAACCTTATGATTCAGCTTCTTGCTTTGGCATCAATTGAATTTAAAATAACTTCATTTTCTTCTTTTACTTTAATACATCTGGATAAATCACTGCTATCTTAGAAAATCTTGTTTGTGTAACAAGAATTCAGATTTAATGTAATATTGTGGAGGTTGTATTAGATTATTTTAGATCATTTTATTCTGTTCTACTGAAAGAAATCTATAATGTTTTAGATGGAGCCAGAGAAGAGGACAAATGTTAGGGAGATGTGTAGTACCCCAGCAACCATACTTCATGAAAGATCTTCCAAATTTAGAACTATTGCACAAAAGAGGTTATTGGAGAGAATTTTTTCTGTCCCCACTGCTATATTCTCAGTAAAATTGGACAGCTTCCTAATTCTAAATAGAAAATATTTGAAGTGAGCAGGACATTATGTTCCTTTCGGATAAATACAAACGTTTATCCAATCACTGGTACCCATGGATCCTTAAAGGACGGGCACAATTCAAATTCTACCCAAATATATCTTTTTTATTCCTATTTCAATATTTTAATCTGGTATTGTTGTGATTCCACAGATGGAAATGGTTTTGCATGCATACATTCCTTTGCTAGATCAGAAATCTTGTAAACAGAGCTTGCTTTTATGCCGGTTAATCCAAAAATATAACATCTGGCACAAGTATATTCCTATTTGCAAAGATCCACATAAAGAGGACTGCGTTTCTGTTTTGATAATAAGGGGAAACATTATCCCCATTTATTTCTAATGACTAGCAAAATGCAATGCCCAATTATAATAAGACCTTTGACACATCAATCTATTATAAAACTTTTGGTTCCCCAAATGTATCTCTAAAGGAATATGAAAACTCTCAAGAGCTACAGAAGTCACCATCAAGCAAAGTTATATGAAAAGAAAGGGATAAGGAAGAAGCAGAAAAAAATAAAATTGTAATTCTTGAACTTTCCTGCTTTTTTTCTATTTCTCACTCTTATGTCTGTTTGGGTGGTCCTAATAAAAGCATAAGAGAACCAATTTGGATAATGATTAAGGTACTGGGTAAGAAATCAGGAGTTTCTAGTTTCTAGTTCTGCCTTTGATATAAAGCCAGTTGGGTGACCTTGGTCCAGTCATTCTCTCTCCACCCTAGAAAGAAGGCAGTGGCAAACTACTTTTGATATCTTGCCAAGAAAAATTCAGAGACTAGTCCAGGCAGCCACCAGGAGTGAATAATGATTTGAAGGTATCCCCCTCTAAAAAAAATTGAGAGTCAGTCACAAAGCCAGAGTCAGTCACCAAGAGACTGAGTTCTAGCCCTGCTTTAGGCATGAAAACAGTTGGGTGATCTTGGGCTGGTCATTCTCTCTTAGCCCTAAGAAAGAGGCAATGGCAAATCACTTCGCAAATGTCTATGGATATCTGGGAATTAAAAAAGCTTCTTGGATGAAAAGTAAAATGTCTTCAAGCAAAACAAAGAACATCCTGTTGCCTTTTGAAAGCACTTTTGGGGCCCTTCCCATATCTTGCCAAGAAAACTGCAGAGATGTGTCACCAGGAATCCAAACTAACTGTAAGGCACCATAGTAATAACAACAACAATAACAACTTATTTATTTATTTATTTATTTATTTATTAAATTTATATACCGCCCTATCTCCCTTGCGGGACTCAGGGCGGTGAACAGGCGATACTAAAAACCACGATAATAAATAAATAGTTTGTTTTAAAATCGAATTAAATAACAGGCCTGTTCTAAAAACACACCCGTAAAAAAAAAAAACCCCACTGAAACATAATAAGCTGCTTGATAAGCTGCTTGATAAGCTGCTGCAAGAGGTTTGCACAGACTGACAACAAGCAATCAGCAACAAAGGAGCATTGGAAGATCTGCAGTAAGCAAGAACTGGTAGGACCATAAAATAGAGAAAGTCATATAAAATGAAAAAGCTCTGGGACTTTAGAATTCAAACAGACAGGCACCTGCCATATAGCAGCCCAGATTTAACAATTGTCAATAAGAAAGACAAAAAAGTCTTGACAGTGGACGTGGCAGTACCAAGACACAGTAGAACAGAAAAGAAAGAACTGAAGAAGATAACAAAATACAAAGACCTACAAGTAGAAAGAAAACAACTGTGGCAAAAGTAAGCAAAGGTAGAACAATAGTAATAGGCACCTCATGTGCAATCCCAAAACAGCTGGAGTACCACTTGAACACCATTGGCATTGACAAATTCATCATCAGTCAATTTCAAAAGGCAACTTTACTCAGAACAGCTTACATCCTGCGGCGATATGTATAACATCATCAAACATCCACATCTGCCTATCCCAGGTCCTTGGAAAGGACTCAACAGGTAGTGCCAAATCCAGTACGAACATGTGGTAGACTATGCGACAAACAATGATGATGATGATGATAATGATAATTCTTCTTAACCATTACGATCTTTCTGATCCAAATCTGTTGTTGTTTACTTTTCTTTCCTTCATAGTCAATGTGAACGGAATCCATGTCCCATGGACAGCAGATCATGCCATCAAGCCCCCAAGACGATCTCCTTTCATTATCTCCCTCTGCCATCCAATCTTGCCACTCCCACTCCTCTCTTCCGCATGGCAACTGCTTCGGCCCCTGGACGGCCTGGTCCTGACAGCTTGCGGTTTGGGATTATAGGAGGAAACAGCCGAGGACATTTTGTGATGCAACGCTCAGACAGACAGACTGGAGAACTCATGCTGGTACAAAGGCTACAGGGGCCTCAGACCATAACAGTGGAGGTTGAGATGTCCGAGTACCTGGACCGCACCTTCCAAGCTAAACATGTTTCCAAAATTACCATCTTTGTATCAGTTTATGAGTTTTAAAAGAGGTTGGTTCAGCATGGGAGGAAAAACAACTTTTCATCAGGAATTTTTCTTTGGTTTCACCATTGGCTCCCATGTCAAAGGCTCCAGAATTAAGAATGGCATCAAGCATGGCTTGGCTTTCTCACCTGAATTAACATCGTCCATTTCTTTTCAGCATTGCTGGCATGTAGTCTTTCTGCTTCTATCCTAGCACACTTTTAGATGACCCGAAGCCCTTGAAAGTAGGTGAGAATAGCAGTGTAACCTACTACCAATTATTGTTGCTCCAGCCACACTTTGTACCCCATCTAGCTTCAACCTGCCCTTTGTGAGCCAATGCAGCATATTGTTCATATACAGTAGACAGCCAGACCTTAACAAGGCTACCTGCATTCCAGAAGGCTCTAAGAAAGAATGAATATAGGATCCCTCTGTGGACAACGTACCTAAGCAACAGTATTATCACAATTAAAGATGTCATTTCTAGTTTATAACATTGCTATATAATGCTAAATGTTGATTTGCTTGGAAAACAGATGCCTATCAATGGATAAATTATGGAGGTAAATCTGATATTTATCAGACTTCTTTCCTAATAAATGCATGTTGGACTAGAGCAGCATTTCTCAACCTTGGCAACTTTAAGATGTCCGGACTTCAATGTCCAAAATTGTCCAGCCAACATCTTAAAGTTGTCCAGATTGTGAAATAGTAGACTAGGTTGCATATTTCCCTAACAGAAGTGTTGTACTTCAGGATCATAATGTTTGGAAGAAATTAATATCTGCCCCAAATTCAATGTTATACTCCAGAACTCAAATTGAAAGTTTCCATTTCTATCTCTGAAAGAACAACTTTCAGCAAGGTTGTGAAAATACCAGTTTTTCAGCCTGGATGATGTACTTCATTTAATGCCATTTAATATTATAGCATTACAAAAAGTAATATTTTACACTATTTTATTTTACTTTTGTTTGTTAGCCAAGAAAATTAGCAATATAAGAACGTGTTTGTGACTCCTTCAGAAATTTGATTCTGCTCTACTATAATGAAAATATTATTTCCTTTCAAATATTTTCTTTGGGCAAAGAAATGTAGGGCAAAAGGCACTTATTAAACATATTTTTTGTATTTTTCAATGAATGTTTTAGATTTTCTTTTTATCTTTAGATATACCTCTTAGAACTTGATCACAGAAACCTATCTATTCAGTCAAAATTGTTTGCATATTTAGTCTCCAGGCTAGCTTTTTGGTGCATAAATAAAAAAGATTCTCTATAACTACCAATAACAATTTCAGTAAACTTTAGAAGTCTGTAAATATATAAAGTCATATAAATATATAAGTTAAAATTGAAATAGAAGGCTGCTGAAAATAAAATCACAACAGAGCTACCAGTGAGAACTAGATGGGAAAGCAAATCTGGGCCAACAATACAAAAAAAAATTTTTTTTTTTAAAAAAAGATCGATGTTAGTTCTAGCTGTTTTATCTCTCTCCAAATATCTAAAGAACTCTCACCCAGAAATGGGAGCAAATTTGTTTTCTGTCATTCAAGAGAATAGAAAATGAGCCAATAATCCTTATTTATAAAGAATAAACAATAAAACTGTCAGGCAAAATTCCATTCCATCTGGAAGGACAAAATATTTACATTTATTATTTGGTTATTTTATTTTACTATCTATTAGATTTTATTTGTGTGTTCCTTTGAGAGGAATTCAGAAGAATAATAACCTAATTATGTTTAGGCTTTATGTCTTTAAAAAGTCTAAATAAACCATTTATTTATTCTTCTGGAATGCTTAATATTTAGCTGTGGAATGTAATTTCAAAACTCATAAGCTTATATCAAAAGACTACCACAGCAATCTATTTGTCATGATCCAGCAGGGCATTTCCATGCCAAATCATTTCATTGCAGAAATGGACTGCAGCAATGCACATCCATTACTAAACAATCATCCCTGAGTGAGTTAAGGATTCAGAAAAATTGAATCCAGGCAATTATATTTGTTTTTTCCCCATCTACTCTGTGCATAGTTTGCAAGTATTAGGGCTATGTAGCACTATGGATGCAATTCCAAAGAGGTGCTTTTAATGCACAAAAGCATGAGTCTATCTGCAGTCTTAAGCGACCGTGTCTTTTCCTGAGATTACACAGCTGTCCCTTCAGCTGCCACATCAAAAGATTTTGCTATCTAAACAGTTGAAAATATGTATTGAATTCTCTGCATTCAATGAATTTTTCTGGAAGTTTGAGCCTCCAAGATAGTGTTAAACTCCTATACCCTATTGAATGGTATATATGTCAATTAAAAAAGATTTCTTACATCAAGCACCTAGCCCACAATTTTCTCCTGTGCAGAAGGATCAAGGATTCACTTTATGGAGAAATAAAAATTCAAGATTACAAGCATATTGTCTGCTCTCTTCTGGCTTCAGTGTAGTGGAGTTTCTTAAAGGAAGACTCTGTATGGTTGTTCAGTTTCTACAATATGAGTTGCCTTTTTGCTATCCTTGGTCCTGAAAAATTGCACCACTGTACATCACTTACAATTGCTGACTCAGACAACCCCCATATGAGATCAGCCAGATATCTACTGTATCTATATAAACCCATACTTGATTTTGACACTCAATTGGCTTTCTCTTTCAAGGCATTTTTCTCCCAGATTACCTTTGCCTTTAGTGAGAAAATGATTAGAAGGTGCCACTGATATGCAGATTTTAGAAAACTTGCTACAGGACAGTCCTTCAAGTCAGCAGAAATCTATCTTAAAGCAAATTCTCTGCCTTCCTTACACTAAAATTATGTGCTCCATTTTCTAGCACTTGTTCCTTGTTTCAATTATCAGTTGCTGAATTTGATTAACTTTAGATGCTATCATATAGTGCATTATACTTCTTGTCATAGTACAGGTAGTCCTCAGCTTACGACCACAACTGAGCCCAAAATTTCTGTTTCTAAGCAAGACAGTTAAGTGAGTTTTGCCCCATTTTATGACCTTTCTTGCCACAGTTGTTAAGTGAATCACTGCAGTTATTAAGTCAATAACATGGTTGTAAAGTGAATCTGGCTTCCCCATTGATTTTGCTTGTCAGAAGGTCACAAAACCCCAGGATACTGCAACCATCATAAATAGATGCCAGTTCCCAATAGAAATATCAGTTGGGCTATGATTTGGGTAGTTTTGCTTATCAAAGTACAAACATTTATCTGGAGGTAATGGGAATTGCTTTAATGTCATGGTAATAAACAGACATGGTGGGAGACAGTTTTGACTTCTTTACTTTACCTTGCTACGGAATAAGCCCTTCAACCTTTCTGAGGTCTGGTATAATAGAAGCTTGCAATGAGACGAGAATCTTTTGCATAAGCTCCAGTCATTAGGTCCATGAGACAGACCCAAAAGTATGTTAACTAAAAAAGCTATAGAATTGCCTGCAGTAAAAGCTTCAACCATCTCTTAGCAAAATATATTTCTATCTCAAATGCAAAATGCTACATCTAGCATTCCTTGAGTGATCTGTTTTTCCATTCCTGATTATTACATGTGACACATCATGATATAAAAATAATCTGAGAGGATGATGTGTCACCAGATTTTATAGTTTGCTAATCCTGAAGTATTGTGTCTCTCCATAGCAATTTGCAGGAAAGATTGTTCAATGAATGTTTATGTTGTGAGTGAGCTCATATGGAAACATGGTATGTTGAATCAATTTTAAATGACCAAGTTCATAAAAACATACTAATCCCAAACCGTCATTTACAAATCACAATGGGGGTTCACACAAAATCAGACAAATCACATTATGTATTAGTGTGTAGTCTGAATCAGACTCATGCAACAACCAAGGAAAGAATAATCACTGTTACAGTTTTGTTTGTGAAATGTCTCAACAATAGAAGATTTTTTCAACATTTCTTAATTATGTGAATAGAAATGATGTGACTTCTTACATTCCGCCCAAGATAAGAAGTACATCTCCAGAAAAGTAGGCTAGAGAAAGTAAGAATAATGTTTAGACACACTAATTTTGTAGAGGTGGACACACTTTTAGAAACAGTGGTCCTTAGTTAAATAAAAATTCATGGCATCTCACTGTAATGGTGAAGATTCTAAAACCAATCTGCCTACTCAAGTCTGCTGCTCAGATGCAAACTGTTCATATTCTGCCTGAATTCCTCTGCAATTTCTTCTGCTTTTTCCTTCTCTGTTAATGTAAAGTTCTTTGCACCTCCCCACATTGTATTGTCCTTCGCTTTGCTTCTTCATTTTCCTCTGGACCCTCGAGTCTCTGTAGAGGAAAACGGCCTTCTTTTGTTTGGCTGTTTTCTCTGCTGCTGGCTGCAGAACTTCCAACACACATGTGGTTCCTCTGTTCTTCTCCCCCACTTGTTTCAAGATTGCAGTTTTATCACAAACACTGCTGTGGGGGAAGGCTTAAATAGGAGGTGAAGAAGACTGCACAGGTACCTGCCATTTTTCTAAGCACCCTGCTCTTCCACAATAATCAAATTCTTTTGTACTATTAGAGATCTGGGGCAAACAGAATATACAGAAATATACAGAAATGCAGCCAAACCAAATTTATTTTTAAAAAATCCAGCATGAGTCAACCACACAATTCTCTGGAAATCTAATTAACAGGAACAATAAATTATAGCATGCAGCTGAAGACTTGATTTTGGTGGCATAGTAGCTCTTCTTGAATACTGCAAGTTGGAAATACAATCCGATGTTCATTTGTCCCTTAAATGCTAATAACAACAATATTTTACTTTCTTAAATGCAGTAAAAGCAGGGTTAACTTCATTGGCAAGGTGAGGCCACCATCCCAGAGAGCAGACAGTGGAGAAGGGCAACAAAAACATAGACCTCCCTTAGATGGCAGCAAAGAAATACAGAAAGTTTAACACTTTATTCTCATTGAGTATAGTTGTCTTTTGTCTGGTAATTCTCAGGTATACTCCTGCTGATTTGGGCCTATAACAGTGATACCTGGTCAAATAAGAACCATTTAATTATACAGCACTGGGCAAATTATGCTTTCTAAAGCTTCCTTCTCATTTGAGGTGTTATCAAGAAAAAACTTCCTCCTCCCTCCGTATTATTGTTCAGCAGCATTCCCAATGCATATTTTTTCATGAACTGTTCTTTTTCATCCTCCTTCTTATTAACACTGCCCGTCATTAACACTGCTTATCCATGTAACAGTCATGGAATTGTTATCCTTGGATGAGAGAAAAAAATTGCCTGTCCTGCACCTTCGGTCCAGGTGGGTACGTTGCTCTCTCCTTGGGAAGTTAGGGTTGTGTTCTGTCCCCGTCAGACACACACACCCAAACAGCCAGCCGAGGGTTAAAGAACTTCTCCACACTTCAATCCACAGATAAGAAAACTTGGCAGCAGCTCCGTAGCTGCCTGCCAAGACTTTTACTCAGAGAACAAAAAACAATACACACAGTTAGAAAATTAAGTCCACAGCAAACTACTG